TTGGCCCACGGTAAGACTCCGGCTGTGCAGAATGTTTGAGTTCACATGTGACCCCGTGTTACAGCGTGTGCTTCATTTTTCCAGGACAAGACGCCACGGCGTACGGTCATCAGTAAGAGAGGCCTCCTGACCTGGAGCTCCGAGGACATGGACAGTCTGACCGAGGACATTGAACAGGCGTCTACGCCCAAGAAGAAACGCCTGTGCAGGATGAACAGCCAGGATGGAATGACGAGTGAAAACGGAGACGGTCAGGAACGAACAAGAAGTCTGGGTTTTTTTTGGTCACGACTCGACCCACAATAAGTATTAACGCAAACCCTTGATTTCAGTTTCGACCTGTCCGACACCTCGCTGGTGCCACTCCATGTGTCTGAGTGACCCCCACACTGCCCTCCTCATGGGTGGGGAGACGTCAGATCAGAGCTTCTGCAGGGATTCTTTGTGGAAGCTTAACTTAGGTCAGTCGACTGTAGTTTAGGGATGGGTTTTACAGTTATACAGTATTAACAGAAAAATCTCACGGAAAAGTTCTGTTTTTGTTTGGAGCTACAGTAGGTTTGGAGACTAATAATTGACTGTCAGAAAAAAAAAAGTATAACATCTGTGGACAGACATTTCTGGGTCAGCAGTCATTCATCAGCAGTGCATATTGCTAACTGCTAACTCCTTTTTTGGAGTCATTTTCACATAATATGACAATCCATTAAAATAATCCCACATTTTGAAATTCTACAGCTACATTCATGCGTCGCAAAGTTAAAATAGTTTGTCACTAATTGTTTTGACACTCCCCCCCCCCCTAAAAACAAGCTTCCTTAAGCTAATCATGTTTTGATTTGTCTTTGCTTCTTTAATTGGTTTTTAAAAACATCTCATTTGATAAATGAGTCTTACCGCCACCTGCTGGTTGCATGGATTACCACTTCAGCCGCTCTGCAAGATGAACAAAAATGAAAATTAGAAAATGCATACTAAGGGTGTTATTTCTGCACTGTGTACTTTGTTTATTTTTGAGTACTAGCATGAAAATGTATACAGTACCATGTTTAAAGTTCCTAATATGTCAACTGTTTCCAGACAGTGACCTCTGGTTCCCCATGAACTCCTCGACCCCTGGTCCGGTACCACTGTGCTCCCGAGGACACTCTGCCACCTACGATCCCGACTCCAGTTCAGTGTGTGTTTACGGTGGACTGAGGGAGGGTCAGCGCTACAGTGAGCTGTACGTCCTCAATACTCTGACCTGGAAATGGAAGCTCATCAATGTGAGTTTGTGACAAACATCTCAAACTTGTAATAATCTCTGAAGCAGCAGCAGATGGTTCTTTGGGGATTCTCTCCCCTCCAGGCCAAAGGCAACATTCCGACGTTGGCGTATCATTCCGCCGTGTTTTATAAGAAGGAGCTCTTTGTCTTCGGTGGAATCCATCCTGGACAGTCGTCTGGAGAAAAGTCCTGCAGTAACGCTCTTTACATCTTCAACCCGGAGTTTGAGCTCTGGTACAAGCCCATCGTGGAGGGGGACAGACCGCTGCCTCGGTTTGGGTCCGTGTTCTTTAACCTAGTACTTTTACACTGTATGTATTTAAATGTTATGAAGTATTGAACAACTAGATGTAGTATTGAGGAGGAATATCCTCAGGTCAAATAGAGAAGAGTTTTAGATTGATACGTGACGCAATATTTTGTTTCACGATACTGTAACGATATTATCCAATTTCCCTTAATGTATGTATGGATTACATATAATTTATCTTTATTTGTCAAAGCATGGAAGGCAGAACAATTAAATACTCTTTTGCTAGGTGGCAGTAGATGGCTGTTAAACTAAAAAACAAATATTCAGAGCTGTTGAAGAAGATCTTTGTGAATGTCTTTCTTCAATTCCTACCAGTATATCAGTGTTTTCTTCAGCTAAACAGGCCAAGATTTGAGTCAATTATGAGGTCATTTAAACTAGAAGGTTATTTCATTACATACTTTTTTCGATTTTTCTTCGGTGGTGTGCTGCTTAAAAAATAGAAAAAAAAAACTCGTTTTTCTTCGGTGGTGTGCTGCTTAAAAGAAAAAAAAAACTCATATCACTGTGCCTATAGTGTCATAGTATATTGCAATATATCGTGTCATTGCACCTGTATCGTAATACTTATTGTATTGTCAGATTCTTATCAATACACACGCCTGTTAAATATATAACATGTAATGTCAGCTGTTCAAACCCTCGTGTATGTACTGAACAGACACTCGGCCACACTGCTGTCACAGAAGTTGGTAATATTTGGTGGACGAAAAACTGCGACCTATCTGAACGACCTCCACGTTTTAGACTTGGGTAAGACTGATTTGTTTTTCTTTTCTTATGTTAATGTGTGTATTTCCATATATTCCGTGACCACTCTGTAATATCTTTCTGAAGGTTTTATGGAGTACACAGCTGTGAAGTCTGTGAACATGCCTCCGCTGCCTCGAGGGTGAGTTAATTGACCTTGAGATTTGTCACTCAGGATCCATCTGGTCTAAGTGTATTTTTATATTCCGAACTGTGGCAAAACACATTTGACTTTAATTGGTTCTGACACTTAATATCACACCTTTTGATCACATGACAACAAGGCATTTCGTTAAAAAAATGTGCCGTTAAAATGGGCCATAGCGGAACAGCACACGTGACAACATTAATAATAAATGGCCCTAGATGTCAGTTGTGAACGTGAAGCTAATAAAATCATCATATTTAAGTGTAAATGGAGCAGAAGTTTCTTCCTGGTTTCAAAGAATTAGGTCAATCTAAAGCACATATGTCAAATTCACGCCCGGGAGTCAAATCCGCCTTGCCTCATCATTTTATGTGGCCCAACAGAGTTTAGACTTTAGAGCAGGCATGGGCAAACTGTGGCCCGTTTGGCTTTCAAATCCGGCCCGCCAAATGTGTCCAAATTATGTTATTAATTTCTATTATCGTTATACTTTACTGCCTTTTCCCTGCAATGCCTGCATTTCTCCAATAGATGGTGTAGAAAAGGCTTAAAAAGCATTTTAGCATTTATGACTTTTACATGTTATTTGTTTTAGTATATACAAACACTGACCCAGCCTGCTGTCAAATTTTAGGACATGAATTAAAAACTTTGCCCACGCCTGGTTAACAGTAATGGCTTATTCTGTGTGGCCCTGTGTATTTTGTGTTCTGTGTGTGTAGGTTTCATGCTGCTCTCCCAGTTACAGACAACAGGATTGTAGTCAGCGGCGGCTGTAGTTCAATTGGAGTTCTACGGGACGTTCACGTCTTTAACGCCGGTGAGTCAAATTCCTGACTGTTTAATTGCACCGCACTATTGATTTGTTAAATGTAAATGGTACTCCACTTAATCTTTAACCTGGGGTTGTCGAACATCAGGCCCGTGGTCCAAAATTGGCCCATCACAGGGTTAAATACAGCCCAAGGGAGTAATGTAGAAAGTGTGGAGGAAAAAAAGTATTATTTTCAAAAAACTTTACAATAATAACTTCTGTATTGTTGATTTCCAGATACAAGTGAGTAAATATTTTATGCCGTTGTAAATTGTGGATATTGTTGAAATTGAATTTGTATTCATTTAAATGAAGGGTTTAAATGTGTGGTGCGTGGCCCACGGAACTAAGTTTGACAGCTCATCCTTCAGTCAGTGACTCCTGCTATCTCGTCTACAGATACCAACACGTGGACCGCGGTGGCGTGTCCGGCGCTGTGCTCCAGACCTCGTGCAGGACACAGCATGATCACTGTGGGCTGCTCCGTCCTCACAGACACGGAGAACCACGATCCGGGCAACAAGACCAGAGTCTACTGCACGCTGCTGGTGTTTGGTGGATCGGACTGTTCCGGTACTTTCTACAATGATACAGTCAAATGTACAATCACAGTTCCATAAGGAACACTAATGGACCGTGTCATTACTGAAAGGTTATCATCATCACCATCTTTATCCAGATGGACAGAGTATTTCTCCCTGTATTTGTGTACCAGACGTCCCTGTGGTATCTTCATACCTCTCCCACACGTTTGCCTAACAAATCACTGATCTACATGTTCATGACTTGGACTTCCTGTTGGGAATTAGCAGCTGCAGTGATGCAGGAAATTGGATTATTGCCGTGCAGTTCTCTTCCCTCTTGATGACAAATACTGCAGTGTCAGAATATATTTATGCTGAAATACTAATAAATATTTTAAACTTAAGTGATTAAAGTAAATCCACTGATGCTGGTTATTTTTCCAACACTTTTTTTTTTTTATTATTGAAGATGAAGGAATTCACAATTATCGATTTTATGAACGCATTTCTTAGGGTGCGTCGGGTTGGCTGGATGGATGACTCACTTTAAAAGCCTCGACTTCATTTAAGGTTTGATTTATTCTTTTGATTGTTGGGTACTGGTCCACATCTACATCGAACCTGGAATGATTTAAAAAAAAAAAAGTAAATTTTCTCTGAATTTAGATTAATGTTTTAAAGTGTTTTTTCTTTTTCTTTTTTCAAGTACCCTCTTACCTCTCTGCTGCATTATAGACTTGTGGGACCAAGCAGATGTCAGCCATTGATATCTAAATAAAAGTTTAAAACAAAATCAAATGTAAAGCAGTTGTTTTGTGCCACACTTTTAAAACAACACATTGAACAGGTTCCTACCTCGTCACCGACACAGTATTTCCCAGCAGTTTGCTTCAGGATGGGCTCCAGAGCTGGAGAAGAAAAAAAATTTTTTTTTCAAATGTAAGGTGAATTTGTGGTTAAAAAAAAAAATTTATACCAAGACTAAATTACACCAACCTTGGAAGCCTCGATCAATGAAATGCTGGGCCCACTGCAACTTATCTGATCCAATCTTTTGAATGACGTAGAGATTCTAATAAAAAGAAACCATTTTCATCACAATTTTTTGAATTATTATTGGGATTGTTCAGTGTGTCTACAGCAAGGCTGTGGGTGCTAATTGGGTTAGCATTAGCTCAGTGGTCAGGGGAGTTGGCCATTCACAGCAGTAGGTACAAGTTGAAACAAAACTATATGCTCAATGTGTTCCTGACCAAGGTTGACCATAAACACCTTTACCCACAAACAGACATATTAGCTACAAAAAATACACAATCAGAATGGTTATAATATCACAGAGTATTTAAGTATAAACACCAATATTTGGCATCAACATTAAATTTGTAACCAAGTGACAGTGGCATCAACATGTCACAAAAGTTGGCATGTCTAATATTAACTTTTTGCCGATATTGTCTAAACCAGTGGTGTCAAACATACGGCACATGGACCAAAACCGGCCCACTAGGAGGTTCAATCCGGCCCGCTTGAGGAATTTTGAAAATAAAATAAATACATTAACAGTTCAGGATATGAAATTATATTTCATTAAATATAAAGATTCTACAAACTTGGACTTGTTTGCATGAAAGCAAAGGGAAAAAACATGAACTTATTATATTTATAGGAAAATTATGATATGATGGTATTGGTTCAGCCCATTTGACATTTAATTGGGCCGTATGTGGTCCCTGAGCCAAATGAGTTTGACACCCCTGGTCTAAACACTTAACATCTGGTTCTGATATCAACCAATACCAATAAATGCAGTCATTTGGATTAAAGGCAGAGGACACATTTCATTGTTTGCTGTGCTGTGTCACAATGACAACATTGTTACATTACATTACATTTATGCTGCGTCATCAGTTTACATCACTAACCTGCAGTGGCTGGATCCCTGAGGCTATCAGGTCGCTTATCATCCGAACTTGAGCGCGTTTCTTTGGGTCTGCCGGAAGGAGACGAGGTCCAGGCCTGGTCTCATCGATGTACTGAATCACTGCCAGCTGTATGAGCACAAAAGGTTCTATTCACACTCGCTCACACAGACTCTGGTTTACTGTAAGAGATCTGTGATGAGAAAGTTGAAGGACTCACCGACTGAGACAGGGTGACGCCATCGATTTCCACTGCGGGAACTTGTTGCATGGGGTTCAATGTTTTGTACTGTTCTGTTAGCTTGAACACACAGAGACTATGTGATTGTTGTGGGGGTTTTAAAAATATGTATCAGGCATTAGTAGCTGAGAACAGATATTACTGAAATACATAAAATACTAAATTTCTATACTATGTTTCTATACAGTAGCATACACCAGAGTGACGTGTTCTTCTTTGTTTAAAAAAACCAATGCATTTTAAAAAGGACACTGGTGAATCTGTGTGCTGTACCTGCTCTCCTCCATCTTTGATTAGGTTGACTGAAACTTGGTCAAATTCAATTCCTTTAAGGGCAAAAGCTGGTGCACAAAGAACAACGTTTGCATTTTAAAAAAACTATCAACAAAATGAATCACAGACTTTGAGGGTGGATGCTGTGCTGGGCCTCACCAATGCGAACCCTCCAGGAGCAGGAGCTTCTGAAGTATCCATGCAGAACAGGCTGAAGAACAAGAACAAAAAATGAATAAACATTAATCCACCGAGTCCAGTGAAACTCTCAATGTCTCACAGCTCGTTTTAAATACATGCCCTGATTCACCTTAGTTTGGGCTGCCATGACTTTGACTCTACTTTTTCACACAGTTAGCTCAAACTTAAACACGCGACCATTCTGCAGCAACCAATAGAAAGTTCTCCTTAAACCCCCTCCTACCTACTCTTTGGTCCATGACAAAGCAGATTTGGGGTTTCATATGGTTCACATTAGCAGTCTGCACGCACACGCACACAGTGGACAAATAGTATTATAACAGTACCTTTGCGAGGTAACGTAAAGACAAATGCATTGTTCTGGATTTTATTTTGAAGGACTACTCCTGGTCCACGAGTCGTCGTTTAACGCTCTAAAAGTTTCTCATTTAATGAAACCGTTCCTCCTTTTTTTTTTTTTTTACATGATAATGTTTTAAAGAACTTATAGACTGAACGTAGCCGAGTTGCGAGCCTTGGTGCCAGATTGCAACACTTCCTGTTAGCTAATAGTAGGCGTAGGCTGTTATTCTTTCATCCAATCACCATTAGTCTTTTCCCAGCATCGGTGGAATGAAAAAAGTTTTTCATTGGATAGAAGGCGTTTGTGGGCGGGAGCTTTAAAATAGAACCAATTGGAAGCCTAAAAAGTTATTTTTACTTTTGTTTTTCAAAAATACGGAAAACGTTTAGATGTTTGTAACTACAAAAATAGTTGTATTGTACAATAAATGTTATAACAAAAACAAAAACGGTCGCTTGGCGATATAAATAAAATGGTTGAATCAAGCTATGGATTAAATTTACCTTACCTTATGTTACAACCGGGAATCAAACCTATTAGCTTCCTGCTGTAACTGCTGAATTGGAAAATATAGATAATTTAATAAACGTATTCTGCATGTTACCAGCGTAAATCGAACAGGTGATACTAATGTTCAAACCGCTTGCTTGGAGTGCATTCATTATCTACTTGGTATATTTTGAAATAACTCGACGTCTGGCACTTTCTACCAAGGTCCCGTAGATGGCAGTATTGTCCTATAGATCGCGGTTCCAACCTCGAGCCTATCACTGTAAAAGAGGTGAGGAACAGAAACTGCAGCTCTGCACTGACAGATCTGTGATTGAACAAGTTCCATCTCTAAAAGTCCACAAGTTTATTGGGAATGATATTTGTTTGTATAATTGCCTCGTATTACGTTTAATGTTTAAATTCAGAAAAGCAAAAGGTTAACGTCCTCTCATGAAACACTTGAGAGTTGAAAACCAGGTGTAGTAGCGTTTGATGCCACCAAAGAAAAGAGGGTTGGAGACAGTGGGACTGTACGGCCCTGTCTCAGTCGCCCCGGTGGGCTGATGGCGTGCCACAGCTTTGAGTGCTATTGCAGGTACCGGACCCCATTTATCTCACCCCTTTTCCCTCCTGTCTCCCCTGTTCCCCCAAGAGCCTTGGGTTGAGTCACATTGGGGCCACCCAAGCCGCCCTAACCACACCTCTCGCCTCACGCCTTATTGTGACTTTACTTCGGAGTGAGCTGGGAGTGAGGGCTAGTTGAGTCAGCCGTGCTGCAAATGTGTGGTCAGATGTGCGGCCCAGTCCTAAATAGCATCAAATCTTTTTGAGAAAGGAAGCTCATGGAGCAAAAAAAAAGAGGGTGATTCTTACTGTTTGCAGACGATATGAAATTGTACAGTACACAGGAAACCCCAAAGTATCGTTCTTGGAGGGAGTGTCTCAGGGTGCCCCTCGTCCTGGCTTTTGTGTTTTTGTGGGAGAAGAAGAATTCCACTGTCTGGATCTGGATGTATGTGTTTCACACAGTGCAGTAGTGTCTTTACATGTAACTGTATAGCTGCTTGTTTTGGGGGCCTCTGCTGGGAAACCAGTCTGGCCCAGACGTATGATCTTCTCACAGACCAAAGTCAGAGTCTACTGTTAGTGTACTGTAGATCATGACAGTGTGAACTGAATGATGGCTGGGCCGCAGCCTCAACATCAAGTGTTGTGATGATGCCACGTCTGTGGGTCTCACCGTCATCGTCAGTCTAACAGGAAAATGTGAGAGTAAATTAATGTTTTATGAATTTTGAATTAATTTTTTAGTAATACCATATTAAAAAAGTTAACACGGTACATCGGTACAACAGAAACTAAACTCTATAGTTTGTTAGGGCTCTGGTTTAAATGCATTTTCAATGGATAAAGATCAAAAGGCTAAAGGTAAGGTAAAGGTAAATGTTTTTACGTAGAATCGTTATTCTTTTTAGATTTAGAAATGAATTGGTTAGTTATGGTTCCATAGACTAGGGTTTAGTACACCTGCCATACACACAAAGGGTCCTGGGTTTGAGCCCCTGAGGAACCACTTTTCCCTAATGGCTCCACCTGTGTGGAAGCCTGTGAGTTGCAACCACAAACATAATGGCGCCCCTTGTGGCAGCCTGTGTGTGTTGCAAAGTCACATACTGGGAATTTCCCCATTGTGGGACAAATAAGTGACTCAATTATAATAATAATAATAACAATAATTATAATAGCTACAAATTCAAGCGTATCACCAAATTACAGTCTACAGATGATTGTATTTTCGAGTACAAACATGCTCACATATTCTCCTGAATGTTTCTGAATGAGGTGGGGAAATTCAACAACAATGTGACTGATTCTCATTAGATGTTCCTACAAATCCAAATGTGTTGTTACAATTAGTTTATCAACCTGCATCTGAGTCAGACTCCGTTTTTGACACCATCACTTTTGGAAACGCTGTGACAACGACACATTCATCTCCACTACATACTGTACTGTATGGACCTCCTGCACCCAATTATACTCACAAGATGGGAGTGGTCCAGGTGAGGCTGAGACATTCCCCCCCCCCCCCCCCCGGTCATGTCAATGCAGTGTTTCTAACAGCAAATTCATCAGGTTTCTGTTTGAAAAGCCTTAATGCAAAGTAATTTTCCATGTCAAGTATAGCCTTGTTTGTCCTTGACTGAAAATACGTTTGTCAACCCCGCTTCCATCCACTTCCCAACCAGCCAGTACTACAAATAGCTAAAGCAAACACATGTGAGGGAACCAAAACAGACAGACATGGAAACATGTCCCTGGATATCACTCAAAGAAGGGAAAACTCACGTTCAATTCAAAAGGGATTCCGTGAGACACGTTTACGGTTTGTTTTCCCTGCGTAGCCTGGTTATGCCTGTGTTTGCTGTTCACATGTCGGGGAATGCTGTGCAGCCAGTGAGCTGTGGTCCTCTCCAAACCTCGATGCAACAAACATCTACTCCCCCCCTTGCGCCCCCCCACAGTGGCACCTTCACCAAAAGGCTTCAGTGTGTCCAAACTGACTCCCGCTGTTTCAAACACTCTTAACCAAGCGTGGCCTGCCTCCACGGCCTTCATAACAAAATGTCTTATTTAGACTTCATAAGAGCATGTTTTGATTCCAGAACTGCAAATATAGGCAGCAGATTTTGCTTGTTTTTTTTTTTTTTAAACGGCATATAGACACATCTGACTCATCTAAGCAATTTAGACAGCGGGGGATCGCTTTACAAAGTTTACACTACAAATAACAAAAGGGCAACACTCATTGTCTGCAGGTTTGTGTGAAGAGGCCAAACCTTTCTTCCAGCGCTGATCTTCCAAAGAACTTTCCTGAAAAACAAGTGAATACAAAAGATATTTTAGGACAAGGCTTGTTAAAAAGGAATGGAATAAAAAAATAAAAATAATTATTAATCTGTAATTCTGCATAGCAAAAGCATAAAGAAAATACAGTTTTCTTTAACACAAACTGATCTGCTGAAACCTGTAACACATTCAAAAAATGATGCAACAAGGAGGAATGTTGACTATTTTACTTTGAACAGCACCATTTAGGAACTGAGCATACCAATTATCGCAGTGTGCAAGGATTTTCTCATCGTTGCTGCATCTGCTCAGCCGTCGTTGGCTGCCATCGTCTGAGTCTCCTCTCTGTGATGCACCAGACAGACTGACACCTGGTGTTGACCTGCTGAGAATCACTCAGGGTTCCTGCAAACACACACTATCTGTGACTTTAAAACTCCAGTACATGTCATCGATGCATCAGTGAAACCTTCACATGCGGTGTGTGTACACAGGTCAGTGACATGACAACAATTATTAAACAATTTACTCCACTTTTGAATCAAGTTGAAAACTTTCCTTAAGTCCCTAAGGGTGCCACAAGAAGTATGTAGTTCCTCTGGGGCTCAAACCCAGGACCTTCAGCATCATGAACATTCAGGAGTTGTTCTTCAGTTTGGCCTTCATGAATCATTCCTTCATATTGTTAACTCTAATTGATGATAACTTCAGTTGACTGCTAGTCATGTGCTGATTATTATTTTTAACTGACCTAAAAATGCTCATATTATGTTCGACACAAGGTGGAGCCAGTGCTGCTGAGACTCAGCCTTCATGGGATGCTCCTTTGATACCCTCCATCTCACACCAGAAAAAGTCAATGTGATGATTGATGGAACTTCTAAAAGTCATTTCAGTTTTACCTTGTTAAAGCTCTGTTTTCTTGTCATTTCACTTGTTAAATTAAAAAAAAATTACAAGATAGATTTTTTTATATTTATTGCAATATCTGAACTCCATGGACTCCAAAAATGCCAACAAGAGAACTTGTGAAGTCAACATAGGTACCAGCAAGTGCTGCATCATCCTTAACATCTTAGTAAACCTAAACTGAAGTGCACGCAAGTGAAGAAAAAACAAATACATTATCAATAAAAACTCTTATGTCTAGATATTATCACTGGCCACTTGATTAGGGACATCTGTTCCACTGCTCATTAGTGCCGATACCTAATCAGCCAATTGCACGGCAGGAACTCAGCGCTGTCAAAAAACAAGGTCAAACTTTGCATTGCGATGAAAAAGAAAAATAATTTAAACTTTTGTTGAACATGGATTTTTGTTGGTGCCAGACAGGCTGGTCTTTTTTTAAGTTATTTTAGGGGAAAACACCTTGATGATGCCTGAAGGAAGAGAAGAATTACTCTGACAAGATTCAGTCAAAACACACTGTAACTCAGTTTAAATAGAGCCTATGAGACAAAAAGTCCATTAAAGCTGTGGAATGTGACAAAACTGGAGATTTTCATCTGAGATGTGCAGCAGACGAATCGTCAACAGCTGCCTGATGTAAAAATGGATGGAAATCTCCCGGGGACGGTTCTATTGTCCTGTGGAATCTGTGCCTCCAGGAACTAGGGCAGTATTTAAGGTCTGTACGATCCCGCCTGATGTACCTAATGAAGAGGCCAGTCACTGTTCTGTGTTCCGTTCAACGTTATCAAATGGGTTTTGACAGAACTCAAGATGATCTTCGTGTGAAGCGCTCAGCTGCTGAGCCATAGTCACATGCACGGTGAAGACATTTTTAACGAGCACAAACAAACATCTTGCATTCTGCTAAAACGCATGATTGACACTGTGTGGGCAGCGCACGGAGCAGAGGCAATCAATCCCGAGTGTGATGTGCAATGTCGAGGCCGCACCGAGGTCATGTGGTGTGTATATCCGGCAGGCTGTTAGGGTTCGAGGGCAGAGTGAGCTCAGGCGCCTGGGTGATGAACGTCGCCGGGGAGAGCTGCTCTCTAATTCTGGAAGACAGTCATCATTATATCATTATGCAATGCCAAAATGCAACCGTCCTGATAAATCACATGTAGACGCTCATGTTCTCACAGTGGATGCTTTTTTCTGCTAAACATGGAATGCGGCTCCAATAAATCTACAGAGGCTTGGTTAATTGCAAGGATGAGACGAGAGTTTTATAACGGCACATTCCTGCAGTGTCTTACCCGGCAGCATCGCTGTCACTGAGGCTCTTCTTCTCATAGGAGGCAGACAGAGCCAGATGTTGGGCCACTCTCCTATCAGGAAAACGCAGAGTTGCAGTTAAAACACAACCTCATGGTGAAAAGCCATGTTTTAGAACACCGCTGGTTCTCCACTCAGGCCTGCAGCCTGTTCTCTGAAGGAGTTTATCCAGGGACAACGCAGAGCATAAACGAGTGCCGCCGTAAAATCTGGACTCCCTGGACTTGTTCTGTTATTCTGCAGGACTAGGTGCCAGACCACTACTAACATGAACGCCCCCGCTCTGCCTGCTGTACCCCCCCGTACGTGCAGAGCCCCCCCGAGCACCCCTCTCTGAAAATCACGTTACCAGTGCTCTGCGACCACAGGCGTTCAAAGAACAAAATAAACTGCAAGTGCACGTGAAGAAGGGGCCAACGGGCTGAAGGCAAATGGACGTGACCAGATGTTTGTTTCCAAGCACACGACTCTGCGGCGGTGTCTATTTTTACTATTGTGCCCAGACTCTTTCTTCATTCTTTTTAAGCAGCTGGATGGAAAAGAAAATTGGTTGAAACCTAACTGATGTTTTATGGTATCCTCTTCTGCCTAGAAAATGGCTGTTTAAGACATTAAAAAGAGGGAGGAGTCACCATGAGTTCAGGCTGAGCTGCAGCCTGGTGTCACTGCACTTTGTTCTCCACAGTTAATTGATGTGGAGGTTTGAGTTGGCCTCAGGGCATTAAAAATGGATTTGAAAGTAATTCTTTGGGTAAAGTCGCACTTTCTCAGGCTGAGATGAACAATTACTGCAAATGTGTTAGGTTAAAGACAGGATTATTAGCCCTCTGGAAATGTCATCCTTTGTGAAGTCATTTCCAAGTTTACTTTAGAAAGCTCATAGTAATTTACAGAAAAATCATATTTTATAAAAATGAACATTTTAGCCGCCCTTTGGCCGAGTTGCAGAATGTAGTCATTGGGGTCAGTTAACATTAAGTTACTTATTAACGACCTCTCTGAAGTATCTCGGCCCTGAGTGGATGAATCTCTTAAATTTAAGTTAACTTTTAAGTTTTTTATTTTATTTTATTTTTTTACTGCTTCTGTTAATGCCACTGATTTTTAGAGATATTTGTTCTGGTCAGCTAATAAGACTGACCTTTTAAACACTTCTTGACCACTTCTCCATGTTTTATCTTACTGTTGACTGCTTTATGTTTTTAAAAAAAGCAATTTTAAGTTTTTTTTGTTTGTTAGTTTTGATCATCACCACAGATTTTCAACATTTCTATCTGATTAATTGACTGTACGCATTGCACAAAAGCACTTGGGAAATACTTGGGGGAGTTTTACCTCTGCGTCTGTCCATTCATTCGGGCGAACAGCAGCCTGAGCACTTGTTCCTTCTGCTCCCAGGTGAGATCGGATATTTCCACCTTGCTTCCAGGATGGTGTGTCCTAAAAAAAAAACAACATCAGCCGCAGCCTTTTGTTAAAGACTAAACTCATTTACAGGAGTGAAGGGAGTCTGTGTCTGATGACCACAGACTGAGCTCACCACTAATAAACACCAGGAAATAAAAATGTCACAAAGACTCTCACAGAAGGATGACTCATGGAAATGAGGTGAAGAACAGGGGGACCCACCATGCGGCCGCTGCCTCCATGTCTGCGTGGACAGAGTTGGTGCTGTGGGGGCTCTTATGGAAGGTGCGGATGGGTGGGAACTTGAGTTTCCCAGCTGTGGCTTCCCTCACTTTCCAGCGATAAGCCTGCAGGGCCTCCTTCTTGTATCGCTGCCTGCTGTCCACGATCTCCTGCTTCACCTGTGCCAGCGCCTCGTGGAAGAACTTCTCCAGCTCCGTGCGCTGCTTCACAACCGAGGTCGCCAGGCGCTTGATGTGGCCCAGCTCTCGCTCACGCATGGCCAGAACCTTCTGGAGCTTCTCCATCTCTACCTGCTCAGCTGAAGCTCTCACCAAGGCCTTCTCCTTTTCCTTCCTCTCCCCTTCTTCCACTTCTTTGGCGTTTTGCTCGAGGGTCTGCTCCAGAGAGGTGACCTTTGCCCTCAGTTTCCACAACTCATCCTTTTGGGCCACCATCTGGGCTGCGTTCTTCTTGACCATCATCTCAAATGTGTTCTATGTGAGGAAAGAGAAGGTCACTGTGGTAGAACGTACGGCACCTGGTCAGTGTGCATGTTTTTTTTTCCTGCCAACATAGTTACTCAGAACAGATAAAGACTGACTGTGTGAGTCAGTGCTGATGGAGTCGTATTTACTTCTCTGATTCACTGTCATCATTTGAGGTTAAGACTAATGTGCCCAATATTTATTTGTCTGAAAGAATCAGGGCCAGAATACTGAAAAGCAGAAGTCACAGATTTTAACCCTGTGCACCAGTGGAAACACACCACAACCACTGACCACTGAGAGGCCGGGGAGTGTTCCGGAGATGAGGGGTGGGGGCAGGAATGGTTGGGGGAGATTAGGACCACAAGCAAAATACACGAGGTCAGCACATGTAAACAACGCCAGGGAAACCCCACCTGAAATATATTTTGGACAGATGTGGCATGTGTGTGTTTCGTAACTGAATAAATGATTAAAAGCCACTGGCTGGACATGGACATGACTGGTCTCTGTCCCCTGAGCGCTGTAGCTCCATAGTAACAAGTCTGTTTGCTGTGCTACGGCTCAGAAACATACAGTACCTTGTCCTGTTCCAGCAGAGCATTCTGCCTGGCCAGAGAGTCTGTTTGTTTCTGCAGATCCTCCGCCTCCTTCATGTGATGCCTCAGCGCTTCGTTAAGACGGACGTTCTCCTTGAACACGGAGCGTGAGGCGTCGTCCAACTGTCTGATGGACGTATTGAAAGCTGATTAAAATGTATTTCTACAGAATAACGATTGCGACAGAAGACAGTTATTAAACAAAAATTAAAAAATAATATATATATATATATATAATTACAAAATCCAGGCTGGGATAGGGCGATTTAATGACAAGGATATATTATTGAATATACTTGTCCCAGACAAAACCTTTAACTAACAAACTTAACTTAGTGAAAGATTCTTTTGGTTTGTATTTGTAATTCTATATAATGTAATAATGTACAATCAATCAGATCACCATTTTGAATGCATTATAACTTATGGGCAGAAAGGTTTGCAATGTTTATTCAGTAATATCATTCACTTCATGTTGCTCAAATACACATTTAATACCTACGTTGTTATTTGCACACACTGCGGTAAAAATGTTTTTGTTTCACTGAAGCCACTTGAGCTTAAAATACCGCCCAAGGCCCAGGCATGTGTTTGTGAGCGGTCTCACCTATCGCAGGAAAGATTTATCTGGACTAATCACGATTAATCGTTATTAATTACAAACATGATTAATTACAATCACAATTAGTCATGATTAATTATAAATAATAATCCACAGCTACAAATTGATACAATTTGATTATTATTAATTAATAATTTTAAAGTCCTAATTTAAGATATAAAAAGCTGATAAGGCTCCACTTCCACTGAAACAACAATAATAACAACATGTGAGCGGCTTCTAATTAGGACGTTGCCAGAACAAATCCTGGAAACCAAAAAGTTTGGCACACTGTTCTCGTGTTCTGGGTTAATCACTAAAGTGAATCAAGGGTTAAATGCAATTTCCCTCGAGGAAACACAAAACAAAACAACAGAAACGAAGGACATCAACAACTATCAGACCTAAAAAGAAATGTTCACTGGACACAGAGTTCTACCTCGTATTCACCACATTTCACCAACAGCATCTTTGGTGCTGGATGAGACCCGCTCGTGGGTTGGATGTGGCCCCCCGGCCATACGCATGACATCAGTGATGTGGAGCATGACGCACGCCGTTTCCCTCAGTCTTTCATTCTTTCACATAACGTTTCATTAACTGCTGCTGCACTTGGTTTAAGACAACTGTTTTCTCTACCATGGCTCCATGGCAGGAGTGGGTTGTGGTGAAGGTTGCCTGCTGTAACCTCCAGCCATTGTTGCATTTACAACCTAAAAGATTATAGTATGCGATATGAGCAGAGAGCTGCTTCCTCAGGGCTGGAGTCGAGCTGCAACGACTATGTTTACGTCAACAACGATACTCATTTACTCACCCCATTAAAACCTCTCTCTTAAAAGAGATTACAAAGAAAAACTAAGAGTATGCCCCCTCTCTTAAAAGAGATTACAAAGAAAAAAAGAGTCTGCCGTGGGTTAAAAATATAAAAGTTGAGGATTAGACCCATATCATGCAGAGAAATACAGATAATACATTATAATTTAAGTTTTTTCCTGTTGGATGTTAATTTAATAAAGCAAGAAAAGACAGATTAGTTAGTTAGCTAGTTAGCTAGCCACATAGATTTATAGAAAGGCTGCAACAAAACGGAATAAAATGAATACTTTAAACGTACTAAAAGAACATAAAAATATATGTAAAAAAGTCAAAGAAGAAAAAACTGAAAATTAAGTTTTAGAAAAAAATGACTTGAAGTTAGCTATATTCATAACTGGAGGCTATTACAGAAATACCCTGAAAAAAGAACAATACTGTCAACATTTTACAAAATCCTGTGGAACTAATCTAATGTGTCTGTTACCATTTATCATCAGTGATAATATACAGCATGAACTTTAATCTAGAACAATCTAGAATAATTCCACTATCTGCGTCTCTGTTATGGCTCCATCTGACTCCGAGGCAGTTTTCATGTGACTGTGGGAACCTGGCTACCTTTGTAATTGTAGTGCAAGAGCAGAGTTTTGGTCACACAAGCAAATCTTGACTTCATCTTGGCGTTCTCCACAGTTGGAGACGACTCTCAGAGAGTGAAGGGAATAAAAGTTTACTGCTGACCTTGTGACATTTGTGCCAGACTGGTAAATAAGCAGCTGGTAATTCTAACTTTGCCATACCAAAAAGCTACATATAGTGCCTTTAAAATTAAATCAATTACTGACACGGAGACCAAACAGAACCACACCAGTATCAATGTTGACATTTTATGAGCTGTAAAAAATAACTAAACACAGCAGAGGCGAAATATACATCCCATGGCCTCAAAAGTAATAAACTGTCATCCTCCTCCTCCACGGAAGCTTTCTCTCTCCTCCCCTCAGGACGTTCTGGGACAGCTGAGCATATGATCATTGGCTTCACTGATGTATACTATCATGGACGTGACGAGCCAGTGCGGTCGAGAGACACCATTACAGTTATATATAAATATATATATATACGTCTTTATAAATAAAGCGGTGTGTGAGTAAATTATTTCTTTGCACTCTGAGAAGATCAAAGTGCAGTTGAGAGAATAAAATTGGGCCTTGAAAGGACAGTGGTGATACACTCACACAATAGCTTCGTTGTGGGCCTTGTTCACTGCCAGAGCTATTGCTCTCTCTGCCTCCATCTCCAGCCGAGTCTACAGGAAAAAAAAAATGGTGTTACAAAATATTTATGTTCTCTTTAATAAAAATGCGAGTGACTTTGTGAATATATTCCTATAACTTGCATGTAAAGATCATGTTTGAATTTAACGTAACATGTAGAATCATACTCAGTGAATCCCCAGTCATTTTTAGTCACTGGACAAATTCAGTGTTGTGTTTATCCAGAATGGTGTTGCCCTCTTTCTGTATTTTTCATTTTTCTACTATTTGTTTCAAATGGTTGCATCACCTCTGGATGTACATTTACTAATGACTAATGACAGTTAAGCCCAGTAGGTGGCAGTGATGCAAATCTAAGGATATAACGCTACTAGCAAAGGCTCAGTGAGAAAGCCATGAGACAAAACTTGTTAACATTGGTTAGCTTAGCCTAGCCTAGCCATGGAAGAGATTAGTAATTGTGCAATTAAAATCTTGAAAAAATGTTGTTTTGTTTGTCATTTCAACATGCAACTTTAAAATAGTAAAAGACTGGAAGATCTCCAGTCTGCAGGAGAAAAAAATGTTACAAAATTTTTTTTTCTTCCATGTGTGTTTTCTGTGATGAGCCTTGACCTTTTCCTTGTAGAATCTGTACTCCATTTTGTTTAGATTTTCCCTGTGCTCCTTGTCAGCGGCTTCCATTTTCTCTCTGATCTACAAAATGAATTGAAATAAAAAATGAATTTAGCATGTTATTATGGTTATTTTAAAGAATTGTGATTTTTTTTTCTCACATCACTGAGCTCCTGCTCCATTTGGGCTTTCTTCATCTGAAACGCCTCAATCTTCTTGAACCCGTCCTCGATCATGTTGAAGTCAGCTGAGCGTTTCCTGAACAGTTCCTTCATTTCCTCGATTTGAAGTATGTAATCTTCCTCCTATTGAATCCATATTTAGAATTAAATGTGCACAAACTACACATTCAACACAATGATTACAGGCTGCAAACACTCGTCTATAGATCATCTATATAAACAGTATCTAGAGCTGCCGCCACTTTCTCATGAATGTGTGGGTCAAGGAGGGAAAGGCTTTTGTCCCAAAGTTCACAAGGGCCGTAATCTGTTGAAAAGCAGTTAAAGTTGGGATCAGTCACGCTAAATGCCTCAAGATGCTACTGTGGAGGAACCGGGCAGAGCAAAAAATGTGACAGAGTGACCAAAGTCATGAGAAACTTGCAAGAGTCACCCACAAACATGTACATGACTGGCAAATGAGAGGTTATCAAGCAAGTGATTATAAGTTAGTTCTAATTGTTTTCTTTATTCTTCAGATATGCACTCATCTACGGCGACGTGCCGCTCTGCTGCAGGTTTACATCATGCACAGTTTTACTTCCTGTGATCCATCAAATCGTGACCCAAAACCAGTTTATAGGGTCATTATGTGTTGATGCATCCTCCTTCACGTCACACTGCGACGCAGCTGCAGTTGGGAAAGTCTTGGAGGGAAATTCCAGGGACGTCTGTTTGTAAATATCGGTGTGAAAGTAAAAAAGTACTTCTAAAAACTTACTGGTAGTGGTACTACAGTGTAGTTTCAGTTTAGTAATAATGTGTAAAACATAAGTGTAGGACAATATTTGTGCAACAGAGCCAGAAACAAAGAGATGAATTGAATTATTCGTCTTCTACCGCCTAATGTTTTATACAGTTAGCCATTTTCCCACCATGTGGCCACAAAATAAAATTGTTCACCTAAATTTGTTCGACTGAAATGTTCTTAATAAGAAATTATTAGACCAAAAGATTGACAGTGATTTATCTTTTCTCCCAAAGTTGATATGTGTTTCACACAAAAATAAAAATGGATAAAAGTCATCAAACTATTTTTAGAATATTGGTTAGTTTAGCCTAGCTTAGTCTTGGAACAAAAGTAGAAATTGTGCAAATCTTGAAAAATCTTTTTGTCATTTCAACATAGTTAAAGAGTGGATCATATGTTAGCAATTTTAAAGTGTTCCATGTTTTAAAATGTCACATATTCTTAGGGTTAGCACATCAGTGTTAAAAGAAAACAGCTCCAATAAACTAGCATTAATCACCTGTCGACCCTGACCCCTCCTGGCCCTGTGCATCAGGCTCCCTGGTACAACCTTAAAGTGTGACCCATACTAAAGTCTGATTCCTGACCCACAGCCGTGTGAAGGACGGCTAGGACTGTGCTAGCTTCCTGTAAAAACAAGGATGTGTGATAACAGTACATCTATTTCAAATGCTGTCAGTAGACGTACAGTAGAAATATTTGAGTGACTGGTTAAATGTAATGTAATGTAATGTAATGTAATGTATAGGGCCTTGAGGAGTCATTCAGACTAAAACAGCTCCATGTAAATACAGGCCATTTACCATTTACTAATTGTAGCTCATGTACATAGTCTCCCATTGTGGAACAGTGAGCTGCAAAAGTTGTGGCTATAAGTTGATGCCAACAACAGAAACACATATTTAAAGACAACTGTGTATATATATGTATATACACATATATATTTCTATATGATCCCTATGGAGCTGGCAGCTTCTTTCAGGTTATTTTTAATACTTCCACTCAGTGCATTGTTGGAGGTGGTGATATGCATTGAAATGTGTCTTGGGTATCGATTTATGGATGCAACAAGACCATAGACAGTGACAGGTCCCACTGTGGGACTGTCTCTATCTGTGGCCAAAGGCAGACTGAACCCACAGCAGCCACGTAAACCCCGCCTCTACCCCTTTCTGTTTATGTTTCATGTTTGAAGGACATCTATAATTGTGTACTTTTAAACCGTTTTTTTTTTCTTTTCAATGGCAGTTTGGGAGAAATTTAATTTTAAATAGACAAATTAAGCCATGCTGCAAAATCCTCATTCGAAAGTCGGATTTTCTTTTTGCTAGTCATAAATTTGTGTTTGTGTGCATCCCAACCGTGACAACAAACATTTTTTTATTCTATTGTTTTTTTTTTATTTACATAGAATTTTAAGAGACTTTCTCTATATTTTGAGAAATGTTCTGTAAATCCTGTCTGTGTCTTGGTATAAAAAAGAAAGATTTTTAGAAAGAAATTCTTATTCCAATTAGAGCATAAATCAACATAAAAGTCTTTTCAGACTTTTTAAACATTAAGGAAGACACAGAAAAACAAAGTAAAGCAGAAGATGAGAAAATAGCTCAACTCTATCAAATTTGCAGAAAAAATTATAAAAAACAGACAATTTTTTTAAAGAAAATAAAAAATCAAGTGGCATTTGGTATATTAACAAAAACATTTAAATACAATACTTCGGACAGGCTTTAAGAAATTCAAATTTTCCCTTTTTACACAACATATTTTTTTGTCGATATTAAAAATTCAGGAATTTCCCTTTAATACTGTAATTCCTGAGATGACTTAATATTTCAGTATTTCAGAAGTTCCGTCATGTCTTTCCTACAGAAAAAAAAGCAATCCTGGACATCCCATTCCCCTGAGTACCTTTTGATGCATCAGTTTCCATTCTCTCAGTGGGTTTTTAAGAGGAACAGTTTTATCACCTCACACCGAGGGTCTACGAACAACGCGTCTTGAATTCACATCTTTACGGTCGACCACAGGACAGTATTTTCCCCCCGAGGGGACATCTGTGACAGTCAGATGTCTAAAATAGTGATGTTTCAACTCAGTCCAGACCAGGCCTGTTATTTCTTCATCAGAGCCTTTTTGGATTTTATTTTACCAGCATGAAGTAAGAGCTGGAAGATTGAAAACAGCTGTCAGCAAAAGAAGAAGGAAGCCGAGTTTTGTTTTTTGTTTTTTTTTTCTGTCGAGTTGAGCAAATTGAATTTTGTCATGTCACTTTGACAGCTTGATCTCGACTCCACGCAGCAGTGGTCAGTGAGAATAAAAGCACTCCAAATGAGCGCCTCTGGTGTGTGTTGCAAAACCCGATGGGTGTATCGGCTGCAGAGGAGTGTGTGAGGCAGCGCTGCGACTGCCCTTTCACCATACACCAAGCTTTTTTGTGTGTGGCCACTAACTCGGATTAAAAATAAAGTAAAACCATGTAACTTGGAATGTGAGGACTTGTTTTCTTTATTTGTTTTTTTTTTGTTTTGTTTTGTTTTTTTGTTTTATGGCTACTTTGTTTGGTTGTTGTTTGCATTACATAATAGATGTGGACATAATTACACACGCAGCACAGCTGTTAAAACACAGAGTTGCGCTTCTTTTTTGGATGCTGCAGGTTGAAGCTGTAAATCAGAGTGATACGATGAACTATGAATAATTCTGTGAACATGTTTTTGTGGAGCAAATAAAGGCTGGGTTTCTTTTCTTGTGGCCACGTCTTAAATGAACTCACCAGTCTGTTTTGTTCCTCACGTGCCCTGGCCTCTTGACTTCTGAGGCTTTGGTACAGCACAGTGATCTGTAGGAGAAAATAAACTGTCAGACTTAGCACATCACTCTGTGTGCAGCCAAACAGCTGCACAAATGCTTTGTGACAGGACAACAATGCGTGCGATCATACGCAGCTTTCAGACCCGCACTAAATATCAGACATTTGTATAAAATGTTCATTAAAACTGTCAAATTGTAAAACATTATATCATTGTCGTTACAGGGCGAACGACATGTGTCCACAAAACAAGTGCATGACAATAAATTGCATGTCAATCACAGATTACTGTCTCCTGCTGTGTTTTACCTTTTATTTTCCACTAAACAGGATCAAAATAAACACAAGTTACAACATGTTCAATATAATACACCTACATTTAACAATAGACAACAACATCGTCAGGAAGGTACTGACTTCATCAACCAAAAGAACAGTGAACCTTTGAAAGAAACCTTTTGGGCCTTGTCTTTATCAACAACATTTATATTAATATTTTTTTGTCTCTTTGTGACTCAATATACCAGTAATATAAAAAAAGACTGCATCTTGCATCTGAGATCATACAAATACCTCAATATATACTAAAGCACAAAAATCCATCTGTTCTATTATTATTTAGCCTCATCCGATGGTTAAATACCAACTAAGGAGGGAACTCTAATCTACTGGTTAGAGTGGCTATTCTTAAAATATACAAAACCTAAACATTGCAATTTGGACTTCGACAAACATATATGGAGGTCGAATTTAAACAAAAACAACAATGAATTTGTCATGGGTCATGGAGGTGGGGGGGTTAGAGCCAATCCCTGCTGACAATAAGAAACAAGCTGACAACACCCTTGACAAATCACCACTCCATCCCAGGACCACATATATAGTGACAAACTACCATATACACTCATATTCATTTACAACTACGCCAATATAAATCACATAATCATGTAACCCAAAACCTGCAGGGTATTGGACTGTGGAGCCACATGAACACACAAATTCTGTGGTCACAGTGAGAGTCAAGGCAGATACCACACAATGTGATGGACCCAGACTAGTGTATAATAATTTCTGGCATGTAATTCTCAGAGTAAAAAAAGTTCCAAAAAAGAGGACTCCCAAACAAACCAGGAAAAGATGGAGTCCACTGCATTCCATGGACGATGTAAACCCTCTTTCACAAGTCTCAACCACTCGTCTCCCACTCTCCCTGCCATTTCCTCCTACTTCTTCATTTATTTATGTATATAGGATTTATGAGGCCAGAACTGTTCTTCCCCATTCACAAAGTCATATTCTGCTAGGAAACCACAGTAACGGACGTTGGCGACCACTTCCAAAAGTGAAGCCCACTCAAAACGGAAGGAACTGTTTAAACACCAGAGGGAGATCATGTCAGTTTGGTCAAATTCAAACTCAGTTAAAGGTTATCAGTGAGTAATTTGAGTTATTTTTTTAACCAGAAAAATTCAACTAGTCAACGTGCATATATTCACTGGGCAGAAAAATATATTTTGTTTATTTATATACAAATATACAATATATACAGTATATGTGTACATATATTAATATATGTGATCTATATAAGATGTATATCATATGTATTGTATATATACAAACACACATGGTCTAAGTGCTTCTAAGTGTCTACGTTTTGTGTCTAGACTCCATATTAAAAGCTTAAGGTCAAGAAAACAGTTTTTAAGCGATTACACGCTTGTACAAACACAATTATAGCTAGTTTACACAGGCTGTAGAATGGACATAATTATTTGGTTCTAATCTCCACTTTAACTCAATGAGTCAATACGCAGTTACCTTGGGATTTTTGACGTTTTCGCCACTGCATTTACAACAGCCCATTTGGGCCACATCCTGATGCTAACGGAGTGGCCCCCATTTCAATTAGACCCCTTTAGCTGCTTTCTGTACCTGTTGCTCTCTGGTCGCATCCCGTTTCAGCTGAAACGCCGACACGTCGATGGTTTCCTTCTCTGCTCGGTACAGCTGCGTGGTGAGCTCCTCGTTGACCCGGGCCAACCTACCGCAAGCTTCCTGGTACTGACCCAGAGACTGGTCCGTTACCTTCGACCTCAGCTCCCATAGGGCAGCGGTGGCCTTGGACTTTTCCACGTCCGTTTCCTTGTCCGCTTTGGAATCCTGTTTCCCGTCCTTTTTCCCTTTCCTGGAGACACAGAAGTTCACGTACAAATTTAAACACTTGAATCTTGAATAAAATGCAGAAAAACGGACCACTTACCCTGCTTTCGCCTTTTTAACTTTGGCCGTTTTTTTCTTCGGCATCTCGGCTAAGTTTTTCTTTTTTGTTTAAAAGTATTTTATTTTACGACAACAGTTCCTGTGCACTGTTCTGTGTTTGTGTCGTCTTGTTTCCCTAGCGACAATGCAACCCGGGAAAAAGGTCGCATTACTACAACACATGACCTTCGGAAACTACTCTATAAATATTTTATTTTGTTGTAAAATGAACATAAACCTGGTCGTGTTCTCGTCGTTTTGGAAATATTTATCGCATAATATATCGTCGCTAAACGTTTAATCGCTAAATGATAAAAGATAAGCTCACTACTTCTTCTTCTTCAACTTGTGTGTTTTGTACAAACTCAGTTTCCTAAAATGGAAATAATAAAAAACTCTTCTTGTTCTCAAATGTTGTTTTTATTGGAGCTTTTTTTATTCATAGGCAAAGCAACAAATAGGACGTTTTAGTGTTTTAAAGGTATTTTCTGGTCCTTACCTGACAAATAAAGGTTTATGTTCAATATCAAAATACAGATTTCTCTTTGTAGCATTTTTTAAAGAGATTTTAACAACTGAAAACTCCTATTGTGCTGATAATAATTGATGGCTCATTCTTTTATGTTGTTTATTTGTGTGTGTTTATGTCATTTTATGGTTTATCAATTTGCTTGTAGGTATAAACATGTCCTGACATCAATCTCAGATATGTTTTGAGTCACTTTAAAGCTGCCTCTCTGAGTCACTGCACCTAACAAGTGAGTAAGAGATGGTTTGTAAGGATCTACCTCATTAAAGGGCAATTACTGGATAATTTAACCCTCAGAGCAATGAACTCAACACACTATTTAAAGTACTAGTCTTTAAACACGACTTCACATATAGGGCCGCGGACTCTTTGTTCCAAATTTGTCTATTTTTTACAAGATGAAAGTATGTGACTTCGTTGTATCTTGGTAAACGTGGTTTTACTTATAGAAGCATGATTTTTTGATGCGTTCTCTGTGAGAATAAAAAAAAAGAAAATCTTGAAATTATTTCAGGTGATTTTTTTTTTTTTTTTTGTTGTAATTGTTTGAACACATTTTGATATTTATATACATGGACCTCAGTCTGCTTCTGGGTGCGAAAGCATGTGGCTTAAATAAAACTGGCCCAGAGTCATGGGAGGGCTTACTCGCTTTTGGCAACATAGAGCTTGTTAGAGGTTTGGGTTTTGTCAAACACATGGGTAGAGATTATGAGTGGAGAACAGGGCGCGTTCTGTATATAAAATTTCAGAAAACACTAGCAGTGCAAATTGAGGCCCAAAACAAGACTGCTGAACATACAGTTACGTAAATTACAATGGAATATGAAACTAACCAAAAATTCTTACCTTTGACACAGTGGAAGATGCACTCCTGTTGGCGGACTGGTCCAAGACCTGTGACAAAAAGTGAATTGTTTTGTCCAAAAAACAATTAAAACAAACACGAAATAATATTAACAAAAGAGTGTGTTTCTAAACCAAAGATACTGGTGGCCAATATTTATTCATTGTTTAGTAGACTACTGTAGGTGTGAATACATTACTCATCCACATTCCTCTGTACACTGGCTGAAATACAGCTCTAAACCATTACAGAGCCTAGTTCAAGCCGAGAGTTATTTTGATACCTCGACAATTCAAGCAACAAATCTCCCATTAAAATAAAACCTTTGTCCACTTGTGTTCATCCACATTCCTTCATAACACACTCAAGAATTTCTGGTTAGATGTTTTCAAGTGTTACTCACAAAAATTGAAACAGAAATGCCATTAATATTCCCTATTAAGACAACAGCATGAAAACTGTCAGGGAAATCTGAAATCTGACAGATTCTCATTTTGACAGTTTAAAAAAACCTCTGACATTGTAACATGTGTTTTAGATCTGACTAAACCTCACAAGGGTAACAGACTCTTTAGGGTGCAACATGTAACAAAATACATGTGTGGGGCTGTCCTGCTCCTGCTGTCTTCTCTACAAGGGCCACCGTGTAGGATCAGTGTGTTTTTACATCACCCACCAGAAAACAAACTGAACACATTTTGTGTTTCCATGATAAGTGGAGGCTGTGATGTGTCCTCCTACATTCTTGGCCCCGGACGGTTAACCGCAACATGTAACTTCACCACTGGATATTGCACTGCCTTTATTTCCGTTGCCGTCCTGTGTTTCTGTCGTTCTACCAGTAGCCATATCAGATCCTGACACACAGATGTCTCCTCTACTCAGCAACATCTGCACTGACACAGAACGACTGTATTTGTCACTCGTCTTGTAATTACAGCCTTGTCATGCTGAGCTCTATCGAAACAGGATCTGTTTGCACATGATGTTCTCCCACATCATCTGAGATACGTTTGGCTGCAGTCAGCAGTATTGTCCATGTTGTCCTGAAAAGAACTATGTGTTACTTGCTGCCTCCCCCGCAGTTGTTTTCTGCTGCAGTTATGGGAAAACCACTGAGATCAACGTTGGCTTAGATGTTCGAAGAAACTAGTCCAACAGCAACAATGTAAAGTTAGCGCAGGCCGTAATTCAAGCTCGATACCGCCGACTTCTCGCTATCATCTTGTTAAGGTTCTTGCAAGGAGTCAGAGATTATCCGCGGCGGATTATTCGTCCGCTGAACAAGTAGATATAGCAAAAGTGTTGGGTGTAGCTACTGTAAACTGACGCTTATAGGGGCGCTCTCTGCTCTGGCATCATGAACAGAGTTTGAAGACTAAATTTAAAGGTAATTACTATGACAGTGAGGAGAGAAAACTGAAATAACCCTGAGCTTTTCAAAGCTGTCATTATCACTGGAATTGTAATGACAAGGTTTAAGCCTCTTCAATGGACCTTTCGGGGTAGGACACCCACAAACATGGCATTTCTGAGGTTTATATTGCAGCATATTAATGATATATTGTACTGTGTAGATTACAAAGCTAGGGTCCCATCTCGTGCTTTACGGTTTCTGAACTAGTAACAAAATGCCAAACCTTGTACTGAAACTACTTCTTGTTTAAAACATAGTGCTTGTAATGCGCTGTGTCATGTTGTAGAGCTGCAGCTCACGTACAGATTGAATGACAGCGATGTGTAGCCGGACAACTGAACATGACAGAATTCACCGAGATCCAACGGTAGACTGCATTTGTTCATCGTTTCCGATTGAAGATTAAATCATTAATATTGATGGATACTGCACATACTGTAGTTCACATGCAGATATTTGTGCACAAAGATCCTGTTGCATCACAAAGGCACAACACCAGTTACACTGAGGTGGATTACACCGCTGCAATCACTATATTAGCCAAGACATCTGTCTGAACATCCACTGCGGGAAAACCGCCGAAAAAGAATTTGCAGAAACAACTTAACATATTTCCTGCACTTGCAGGACATTTTATTAACCCTGTTATCACGCCATTAACATGTATCCAGAGACATCCATGGGCAGCAGTTAGTGAGAGGTCCTGCATGTATGCTTTGATAGGGGCGCACGACCATTCTGGTGAGCCGCAGGATTGGAAAAAAAAAAAAAAAGCAACCACAGTATTTAGAAAAAAGGAAGGAGGAAAGAAAGTCCAATATTTTTAGTCCAAATTACAGTGTTGGAACAGTACTTTGCACTGTCGAGTGTCCTGGGAGTGGAGTGGCATGATGGGTGAATGCTGGTGCCAAGCCCCACCCTCCCCACATTGTCCTTTCTGTGGACGTCCTCCATGCCCATCTGCAGGACCTCTGCCCTCCTCTTACCCTCCTGGCCAGAATGAGCTGTCATGACAGCTTGGTTCCGGCCCCAGTCGTTTGATGCATGAGACAGAGCAGCCTCATTTAAGTACATGTTAAGACGAAGGGTTGGGACCAGGTCACTTGACCAGAGATTCCTCAGGTTTCCAGTGCCCTTTGCTTCGCATCTCTGTCGACTTTCCATTGATGCAAAGTGGGTGAAAAATATCACATCCCCGTACAACCCCCCCAGTTCATGTCAGGTCCGTGCACGAGATGGTGAACGATGCGGCCGTTTGGTTGTGACAGCCACTGGACCGAACTCTGTACTTCCTGCAGTTAAAGCCAATAACTCGAAACTTTACACAAGAACCCATTAACCGATACGTTGCAGCATGGTTTATGATGCCGTGCCAGCCAGCCAGAGGAACAGCCACTCATGCTCTTCATGCATTCTCTCGTGAAACGTGCCTCGCTGCCCAAGTATTTTTCCCTTGGAAAGCCTGTGGTTGACACAGAGATGAGTGGGAGTGAGATGATTGCTAACATTCTTTTCTTTTATGCCAGCTGGACAGCAGGTCGCATTTGCATTTTTTTAAGTTTGGTGAGACTGCTGCTGTGGTGATGAGTGCAAGATCAGGAAGAGAAGATTTGCAAGGACTTTGTTTTGGTACACACGTATGACTCACTGAAGGTCCTGACCATGATGTCAAGTTAAATTATGATTTTTAATAAATTTGTATTTCAGCGTTTTTCGGTAGCTTGTAAAGCAACCCTGTCATTTAATAAAACCTTTTAAACAACCTGTTAATTCAGGTTTTTAAAGTGCATTTGTCTTATTTTACAAAATATGTTGACTCTGTTATTAATACAGAGGCTGGTTAATGTTTTCACAATCAGTATGTGGTCTAGTCATAACCAGACACATGAGCACTGTGTAAAATATGAAGGTATTACATGTTTCTGGTCGCGTCTATCCATTTAACAACATACAGTGTTGAAAAAAAGAAATATTATACAGAATTCCCGGAGGGGAACCCCAGGGTTCACCTCCTGGACAAGATCAAATCCCAGTTAGGGCGGTTGGTACCTTCCGGTGGACTCACCACCTGCAGGAAGGTTCAGGGGGGGTGGTACGGTGCAGTGTGATCTGGGTGGCGGTCGTGGAGACTGCTGCCCCCACGACCCAGATAATTGATGGGTGGATTTGGGTCAAATTACCTGAACATTTTTTGTAAAATGGATACATAAAAAATCACTAAAAATCGACCAAACTATTGACAATGAAAAATAGATAAAAGTGAGCAAAAAAGGCTAAAAAAAAAGATCAACTAAAGGCACAAAAACACTTTATATGGAACAATAGAAAAATATATAAGAGCCAATAGGCACAAAAACACTTTATATGGAACAACAGAGCCAAACCAAAGAAATCCTTAGAATACCAGTATTTACATGGTTACATATCAAGTTGTTTCAGGAGTGCATGAGCTCATTTGCACTCCTATAAAAGTTCCATTAAAGTGCTAAGTGACTACCAGGACTCCTAATTTAAGCAGATGAGGCCAAACTCGTCCGAGGGCTGCAGAAATTCTGAGTCAAGCCTGGACAAGTAAAGTTAAATACACCCATAAAATCTATTTTCAGAGCGTTTTTTTTTCTTAATTTCTCCTGTTCATAACCATTCATTTTGACTTCCAACAATTCTTCTTTTTTCCTAACGGGAATCTGAGGCTCCAGGATCACCAGTAAAGATGAGGAGGGGAAAAACACGAACCTAAAATAAATCTACTATAGTTGGGGGGAAAAAAGAAGGAAAAAAAAAAGAAGTCTTGGAGCAGGTAGTCTTCGGCTCCGCTCACAGTAGGAGGAGATGGAGGAGGAGGAGTGGAGGAGGGGAGCAGAAGAGGGACTCCTGATACAGCTGGGATGGACCTCCTCAAGGATTGGTGGATGGCTGCTCCCGGTGTGGCCCCATGCCAGGCCCTTATGTCTTTATATACAGTAAAGAGATGAGCGGACGGTCCTGAGTGTGCGCTCTGCCTCTCTCCATCTCCACTGCTTCCTCGCGCCTTCTCTCCTCCAGCATCCTCCAGCTGCCTCCTCTCCGTCTCCGGCTGTGAAACCATGACCACGCCGTACCTCCTTCTCACTTTGACCGTGTGTCTCCTGGCCGGGAGTCTCCCAGCCGAGGCCACCTACTACCGGCACCACCGCTACATCCCGCACTTCTACCGCTACCGGGAGCACCAAAACACCAATCCACACCCGCACCCCAACACGGAGAACCTCCTGCCCGAGGTCTCCAACCGGGTGCCTAACGTAGCCGCGCAACCCGGCGTGCCCACATACCCGCGGATCCCCGAGGTCTTCCACCCTGCCCCGCGAGCTCTCCCTCCCATACCAGAGGCTTTCCACCCTGTGCCCGAGGTCGTGCACCCTGCGCCCGAGTCTTACCGCAGACACGCTGAGGTTTACCGGCCGGTGCCTCGAGCGCCTTCCCCGGGTAATATGAGCCGGATCTTCTACGGGATCATGTTTGACGCTGGAAGCACAGGAACCAGAATCCACATTTACAAGTTCATCCAGAAAGATCCTGGTGAGTGCACTGCTCTCTCTCTCTCTCTCTCTCTCTCTGTCTCTCTCTCACCCCACTCACCCCCCTCCCTCTCTCTCTCTGTGTAGTAATAGTAGAAACTGTGCACATGCTGCTGCTGGCTCTCACTCTGCCTGATGTTAGCTCATTGGCTGTGTGGTGTAAGCACAAACATGCAGTGGCACGGTGCAGACATGGGCAGTGGAGCCTATAACAGTAAACCAAGGTGGACATTTAATCTGCCCGTCTGACTCAGCTGTGGAAGAATTCACCTAGAAATGAACCAAGCTGTAGGTGAAGCCTGCCAAAGTCAGAGTATCACGAGTTTGAAGTGAACCAATGAAAAAACTTGTTCAATTAAGGTTTTGAAGCTGAGTTCTGATGTGGTTTTTTTTTTAATGATTTTTAGTTGAGCTGCCCGTTCTAGACAACGAAATGTACCACGCAGTAAAACCTGGACTGTCAGCGTACAAGGACAACATTGAGGAGGTACGTGTGTGTGTGTTTACACCATCTCTGATATCCCAAACCACCAAACCACCAGTTTTTTGGGCGTGTGTGATGTAAACATTGCGATAAAATCCTACCTCTAGACTTCAACAAAAGTTTAGTCACTGAATTCCTTGTGTCATCACTTTGTGTTTTTCCGTCGATCCTCTCTTGCAGGGCGGCAACACCGTCCGCCAGCTGCTGAAGATTGCAAAGAAGACCATCCCAGAGGATGATTGGAACAGGACGCCGGTGGTGCTGAAGGCCACCGCGGGACTGCGTCTGCTGCCTGAAGAGAAGGCCAGCGCTCTTCTAAAGGAGGTGAGGCACGTTTTGCTGTCTGCCCTCAGACAGTTTGGCACAGACACCACCCGTCCCGCCAGGGAACGGGATGAGAAACCACTAAGTGCTTACAAGTGTCTCTGAAAAAAAAAAAAAAGAAAGAAAATGCAGCAAGTCTGCCCATTTGGTTGCGGAAAACAGCTGTTGTGGGGTTGTGTGGAGTAACCATATTTGTCATTTAAAGTATTAAATCCGAGCTACTGTTCCAGCCATGCCTGTGGCTGAGATATCTGTCAGTCTAACACAGAACAGATGCAGTTTGTCTTCCAGCGTCTGGCAGGGCTGTATCCACACAGTGCAGCCAAGTAATTGACTGTGTAGTTCAGTATGTATTATTATGATTGTTTTTTTTATACATGTAGCTCTGCGGTCGACAAACATTCAACTGGAAGCAGATTTGACAATGTACAAATGCCCAAAGTCCAAGATAATAACCTGGCAGTCAAATACACAGAGTTATATCTGACTTTGAACTATTTTACAAAGTAACGGAAAAATCTCAATTTCATTCAGTAAACTATCGAAAGCCTTGTCAGTAAAACACT